AAAAAAAAAAAAAATTACTCCCCATTCTACCCTCCCACAGCCCCTGGTAACTGCTATTTTTCTTTCTGTCTCTATGAATTTGCATGTCCTAGATATTTCATGTAAGTGGAATTATATAGTATTTGTCTTTTTGTGTATGTCTAGTTTATTTTACTTAACGTGATGTTTTTAGGGTTCGTCAATGTAACATATGTTAGAATTGCATTCCTTTTTTACAGCTGAGTAATATTCCGTTGCATGCATATACCATGTTTTGTTTATGTTTTATCTATCAGTGGACATTTGGGTCATTTCTGTCTTTGGCTCTGTGAGTAGTGCTGCTATGAACATGTTTGTGCAGGTAGTTTTGGGTTTACACCTAAGAGTGGAATTGCTGGGTCATCTGACATGTTACATTTAGCTTTTTGAGAAAATGCCACACTATTTTCCAGAGCAGCTGCTCTATTTTTATATTCATCCTTTTGTAGTTAGATTTCACTTATCATGTGAGTTTCCTTTCTGAAATGTCATGAGAAGATAGGCTTTGCCCTATTATCATATGTATTTTTTTCAAGATATTTAAAAAAATAAGTTAACTTAAAAGAGGTTTCATAACTTGCCCTGCTTGTTTGGCAGTAGTGTATTACATTTAGCAACAACCGTAGGGCTGATCCCTGCTAGGTCTCCGCTATGCATAGAAAGAAATTGAAACTTAGCTCTGCCCAGCTTTTGTACAGATGCACTTAAGGGCACGTAGAGCTCAGGAGAATGAATAATTGAGAAGAGCCCTTTACACCAGTAGATGAAAGTAACACAGGTGAGCGCACACATGTATATTCAGCAATATAAGCGGCTTATAAAGCTGCCTGCACAGTTAGAACTACTTGGGGGGGGGGGGGCTTTGAAAACGCTGATGCCTCTGCCCACCCAGACTGATTTAATTAAAATCTCTGAAGATGTCCTGGGGATTTGTGTTTTTAAAACAGGTGATTCTGATATACAGCCCAAGTTGAGAACCACTGTTATCTATAAATAAAATTATTTTTAAAATTCTAACATCCTATTTTTTTTTAATTTATTTTTTTGAGACAGAGTCTCACTCTGTTCTCCTGGGTAGAGTGCTGTGGCATCAAAGCTCACAGCAACCTCAAACTCTTGGGCTTAAGCGTCCTCTTGCCTCAGCCTCCCAAGTAGCTGGGGCTACAGGCGTGTACCACTGTGCCGTGCTAATTTTTTCTATTTTTAGTAGGGACAGGGTCTTGCTCTTGCTCAGGCTGGTCTGAAAATCTCAGGTTCAAGCAATCCACCCTCCTCAGCCTCCCAGAGTGCTAGGATTACAGGTGTGAGCTACTGTGCCCAGCCCCAACATTTTATTTATTATTATGCACTTGTATCCTTTATTTCCCTGGTATTATCTTATTCATAACTTATATGTACATGTTCTTCTTTCTACTAGCAAGAATGAGTATTCAGGGCTACCATGCCTTGAATATTTGGTACAAGATCTATATCTTTTGTTTGCATGAAGACAGAAATTATTTTCAAAACCTTAGGAATCGCAGAAAATTAGTATAAATGGCTAAAACCCCAGAGGCAAAGCATATTCAGTCTTATTTTATCACCTGAGTTTTTCCTTTGTTATTTGTTGGTTTCCATTTTTCACATCGCCACTGGCATTTTTTATCAGTAGGGCAGGAGCAGAATGCCGACACATTCTTCTGCAGCATTACCAAGGCTGACGTTTCGTGTTAGTTCTGATGTATTATACACTAAAAATTTTAAAATCTTACTCAAGTCTGTCATCTTATGTCCCACTCTGTTACTTGTGAAACTTTAATTTTGACTGTAATGATAGGAATGGTAAAAAAGATTTTGCTAAAAATTTGAAACCAAAAGTCTGAAGCACGTGCTGTTTGGAGCATGCCTGGGGGTTCTGGGAGGAGTGGAGCTTGCTATAGGCCTGTTAGTATTATTTGACTTTTTAAAAAGCCATATGTATGTATTACTTTGATTTTTAAAGTATATTAAAAATATATATCTGCAAAAACATTGATTATGACAAATAAAGTACCCACAGCAGGAGTTGAGGGAAAGACTTTCCCTAGAGTAGTGATTTTCAACCAGTGTACCGTGAGAGGATCTTAGGTGTGTCGCAAAAAATTTTAAAGATCATTAATTAATTTTTTTTGTTTGTTTTGAGACAGAATCTCACTATGTGGCCCTGGGTAGAATGCCATGGAGTTATAGCAATCTCAGACTCCTGGGCTTAAGCGATTCTCTTGCCGCAAGCCTTTCAAGTAGCTGGGACTACAGGCGCCGGCCACAGTGCCCAGCTATTTTTGTCTTGTAGTTGTCATTGTTGTTTGGCAGGCCCAGGCTGGATTTGAACCCACCAGTTCCAGTGTATGTGACTGGCGCCTTAACTACTGAGCTACATGTGCCAAGGCAATTAAATTTTTTTTGAAAGAAGTTCAAAGCACATTAAGTATATTCTTTTTTTCTTCTTTTTTTTGATCAACATAATCTAAATATTCCACAGAAGTTTAACTATAGGTTCAAGGGTGCCATGAGATTAAAAATGTCTGGAAAACACTGCTCTGGAGGGGACAGCTTTTTATTAATCTTGTGTACCTTTTCTCTGAAAGACCATGAAATTATGGAACAGTATCTTAAGGACACCTCTAGAAAGAAAAACGACCAGATAGCTGACACATTTATAAAGTTAAAATAATTTCATATGCGTTCAGTTGAGTTGGTAGTTTCTGATTTCCATCGCCTTTCCTTGTACCCACTTTTAAAGTTAAATACTTTACTTTTCAGTTTCAGGCAAATAGTTGGAAAAATCTTATCCTGAAAATATGTCAAGGATCCATCAATCCACTACCCTCGCATTATTCCTGTGAACTTCAGTATCTGGTCAAGCAGATGTTCAAAAGGAACCCTTCCCACCGCCCTTCAGCTACCACGCTTCTCTCTAGAGGCAGCCTGGCGCGTGTTGTACAAACATGCCTACCCCCTGAGGTATAAGACACATCGGGCTGGCTGTGAACAGTTTTCACGTGTATGGTAAAATAGTGTGTTGTTTTTAAGCACAATTACATGTTACATATGCTTGTGAAAATTCAAATGATGGGCTAGGTGTGGTGGCAGACTCCTATAGTACCAGCTACTCAAGAGGCCAAGGCAGGAGGCAGGAGGGTCACTTGAGCCCAAGACTTTGAGGTTGCTGTGAGTTGTGATAACACCACTGAACTCTAGCCTGGGCAACTGAGACCCTCTCACCCTTCCAAAAAGAAAGAAATTCAAATGATGGAAAAGTGCATTAAAAACTAAAATGTTAAAACTTCCTCCCTGTCCTCTTTTCTCTTCCACAAGGCTATTCCCCAATATAATCTTAGTTATAATTTACATATCTTTTCAGACATTTTTGTAGACATCAATATCTATATTGTCTCTGTCTAAACTATATGAATTATTTAAATGGCAATTTTATTTTAACTTCAAATATTGTGCTAAGCAATATTGATGATTAAATGACAGTATGGCAATGTCTCTAGAAAAGGGCATTTCATATCTTTAAATTTTTAACTTTACATTTCAGATCATCATAGAATATGGTGAACAGGTATTAGAAGAAACCAAAAAGTCTAAGCATAACACACCAAGCAAAAAGGGTAAGGATTTTGGAAAGTTTATTTGTTGTTAAGTGCTCTTTTAAAAATATAACTGAAAAGAAAAATACAATTTTCAAGTTACTCGATATTGTAATCACATATACTCCTCCAAACAAAATTTTCCTTTTGTTACTTCCGACACAATTCTATATTACCTCTTACCTTTTAAGTTAGGGATCCCAAACCATAGTTTGGTCCTTTTAGTGGTAGAGAGATTGCTCATTATTAGTACATATTTACTCTGGCTTGTCATGGGTCGGGAAGAGGCTTCTGTGGGCTGGCGCAGGAATCTAACCATGAAAATGTAACAGTAATCTTGTAGGAAAAATGTATCCCCAAGTTTCTGAAGAACTCTTGTTCTTTTAAAAAACAGAGCCTTGGGCAGTTCCTGTTGCTCAGTGGGTAGGGCACCAGCCCCATATACCTAGGGTGGTGAGTTCAAACCCAGCCCTGGCCAAACTACAACAAAAAAATAGCCACACAGGGGGAAGATGGATGGAAGAAGGGTAATTGGTAGGACCACACCTACGGTGCATCCTACAAGGGTGAAATTTACTAGGTGTAGAATATAAATGTCTTAACACAATAACTAAGAAAATGTTGTGAAGGCTATGCTATGTTAACCAGTTTGATGAAAATATTTCAAATTGTATATAAAATGAGCACATTGTACCCCATGATTGCATTAATGTACACAGCTATGATTTAATTAAAAAAAAAAATAGCCGGGTGTTGTGGCAGGCACCTGTAGTCTCAGCTACTCCAGAGGCTGAGGCAAGAGAATCACCTAAGCCCAGGAGTTGGAGGTTGCTGTGAATAGTATAACACACTTGGGGGGGGTGTTGTACAAAAAAACCCCAAAAAACAAAAAACAGAGCCTCTTCTAGTGTGATCTGTGGACTTGGGGTGACAATGATATGTTAGTGTAGGCTTGTTGGTTATGACGGTGTGGGGAGCTGATGGGGGAGTTGCAGTGGGGGGCCAGGGGCATGTGAGGGTCTCGGTACTCTCTGATCCATTTTGCTATGAACCCAAAACTGTGCCCCCCAAAACTAATTTTTTTTTTAAATTTTGTTTTTGTTTTTTTAGAGACAGAGTCTCACTTTATTGCCCTTGGTAGAGTGCCATGGCGTCATAGCTCACAGCAACCTCCAACTCCTGGGCTCAGGCTATTCTCTTGCCTCAGCCTCCCGAGTAGCTGGGACTACAGGTGCTCGCCAAAACGCCCAGCTATTTTTTTGTTGCAGTTTGGCCAGGGCCAGGTTGGAACCCGCCACCCTTGGTATATGGGGCTGGTGCCTTACTTACTAGCCACAGGTGCCGCCCTTAGAATTTTTATTAATTAAAAACAAATCCAGTTTTAAAAGTTGGGAACCATCCACATAATAGTTGCATAAAATGTTCATACATCTATAGTCTATCCTGAGCAGATATCAAATTTAATTTATCTGTTTGGAAGTTGTCATCTCTGAATTTTTTCATAGCTATTGTTATTCCTTTTTATTTTTCATTCATTTCTTTTCATCGCCTTTCTGAAGAAACCCAACAAAGTTAGCAGATATGAACAGAATAAGGGAGAGGAGTTAAGTATAAAAATCGTGCCCTGTGGGGGCTTGGGCAACCCTCAATTGCTGCTTGGCGTCTTGGTGTTATGTTCAGATAAAGGAAACATTGTGGAGACTTTGTTGTGTCTTAAAGTTAACTTGTAACTGTTACTTTTGGAAAGGTCTAACCCATTTAGTCTTAGAATTCAAACTTTTCTCCTACTTAAGAGATAGACAGTTGTCTTTGTTTTGCCAGTTTGCTTTAGTATTAGTTTTACTTTAGATACGATCTTGTAGCTTTTGTTCACATCCAAACATACTGGGAAATTTGTTTTAAAACATTGGGCAAGAGAAAAGAAAAGTTTCAAGATAGTTTGGAAAAGTAGTTTTACAATTGTTGAAAAGAAAGGAATAAAGTCGTTTATTGAGTAATAAACCCAGCCTCCTGAGTTAGAGAAATGCCACCATTTGGGGATCACGTGTCTGGTGGCATCTCCAGTTTAGCCCATAGAGAGCGAGACCAGAGCAGTGAGGTGCAGGGGTCACGTCTGACTTGCTCACTCCTGCTTTCTCTGTATCTGTCATCATAGATGTTCAATAGCAATTTTTTAAAAATGTTGTATGAATAAGGGACATGAACTGTGAGAGGAAAATGAGGCAGGAACTGTCCCTGCCAAAGGGATCCATTGCCAGAGTTCTCCCCTGACTCCTGCCGGTCCCTTGTGAGGGCTTAAACAGCTCACTTCTTGTTGGGGACACCTATTCCACCTGCAGTGACAGCTGTCGGGAAAAGCAGCCTCCACTCGCATGCTCTAAGGGGGATAGTGACCTTCACGTATGCAGAGTTTATTAGCTCTTAATGCTAAATAGGTTGGTACAGGGAATAGAGATGCATTTTAACTTTCAGATTTTGACG